GTACTAATGTTTATCAAAGGTGTTGTAGAAAGGTTATTATTGTGAGGTATGGTAGTTGTAACTTTTGTTGTTGTAATTTTTGTYGTCGTGGCTTGTGTAGGTGGGCTTGTCGTTGTTATTGTGCCTGCAAAAGGAAAAGAAAATATGTGAAAAAGAATTACTGGKAGAGGGAGTTGTGGAAGAATAGGATCGTCAAGCAACGCTTCTCTCCCCACCATCGTCGTTGGAAAGATGGAAAGATGGAAGGAACAAACGAAAGAACGAGAAGAAAGAAAGCAAGGAGAAAGAAAGCAAGGAGAAAGAAGGAAGGGAGGGAGGAGGGAAGAATCACCAATTACTCGGAGAGGGGGGTGAAGGAAGCTGGAAAGATGGAAGAAAGGAACAAAAGAGCGAAGGAATATAGGAGGCAGCAGGGAGAAGGAAGGAAGGAAGAATCACTAATTACTGGGGGAGAGGGGTGTGGAAGGAAGGAAAGATGGAAAAAAGGAGCGAAAAAACGAAGGAACAAACGAGACAAGGAGAAGGAAGGAAGGAAGGAAGGAAGGAGGGAGCGGGAGAGGGGAAGAAAAGAAGGAACTTCGAATTTGTCTTAGTATTATTTAACATATTAAATGGACTGGAGTCAAACTTACAGTTTTTACATGTTTTTCTGCAGTTTTTCAGTGTGTAGGGGTAATTACATCCCCCTGTATTTGCTTGGGCCTTGCAATTACTCTCGGAAAAAATATCTTTGCATTCTGTAAAAAAGTAAAAGAACATCGCATATCAAAAAGAATGACAGTAACGCGAGGATAAAAGGACCGAAAGGGCTCTGATTCGGAAAACTTGCAATTGGATTACACCGCTGACCAAAGTCAAATTGGTGCAAAACGCCGAAAGGGCTCATATTCCGAAAGAATTTTTGGGTTACACCGACGGTCCAGTGTTCTGACTAGGAATTTCTTTCAGGGGGTCAAAGGGCCCACCAATCCGAAATTTAGGGGCCATTTAGAAAACTAGATGGGCCATTTCAAAAATCTTAAAACAAAGAATAATGTTTTTAGCCAGCAACTCCGTTGCAAATCTACAACAATGTAAGGCAGTGCAATTTTATTAGTAACGACAAAACAATAAAATTTCGCTGGGCAGCCATACTTAAGCCTTCAATAAACAAGGTCAGTTAACACAGACTAGTTCCAGACCTCTTGGCGAGTTAAATACAAGATGGCGGCTATGTTCAATTCGTCGTTTCAGGTGGACTTTCACCTTGTTTATTGACAATATAATGCGACTTCAATTATTTCAAAAGTACTATAAATCTTTTAAAACTATCAGGAAGTATGTTTTGGATAATTCATGCGCCCTTGGGGGCGCATAGATTTGACATTTGTGCGCCATTTCTGTTTTTTTTTATGCGCGAATCCCGCAATGGCGCGGCCTGGTAAGAACACTGGTTACACCGCTGACTAAAGTCCAATTGGTGCATGTCATTTTTCTTTTGTCTCATTGTTTGCTCTCACTTGAAAAAGGAAAGATAGCTTGAGTTAGATTGTTTGCTATTTTGGGATTTATGCTGAAAAAAATTCACATTTTCCCT